CACCCCCTGGTGACACCTGGCCAATCAGCAAAGTAAAGCCCAAGCAAAGCCAGTTTGGGGAAACAGCCTGCAGGGGACTGGGAGGGGGGCGCCGAGGTCCGGCCCCGGCTGTGTCTGACTGCAGGAGGGTGTGCGACTGCATGGGGGGGCGTGTGTGACTGCGTGGGGGGGAGGGGGTGCTTGTGGAGGCGGGTTGTCAAGGCAATTATGACTGTTTGCCCCAGTTTAGGCTCCAAAGTTAGTTACTCATCTTTTTAAAAAGTGACTGTGCTGCCAAATATGTGCGTTGGAGCCCAGGGTGCGAGCAGGGCCTCCGAGAGGCCGGACCTCGGCGCTGCCCAGGGTACGAACAGGGCCTTCGAGGGGCCAGACCTCGGCGCCGCCCAGGGTACGAACAGGGCGTTCGAGGGGCCGGACCTCAGCGTTGCCCAGGGTACGAACAGGGCGTTCGAGGGGCTGGACCTCAGCGTTGCCCAGGGTACGAACAGGGCGTTCGAGGGGCCGGACCTCGGCACCGCCCAGGGTACGAACAGGACCTTCGAGGGGCTGGACCTCGGCACCGCCCAGGGTACGAACAGGACCTTCGAGGGGCCGGACCTCAGCGCCGCCCAGGGTACGAACAGGGCGTTCGAGGGGCCGGACCTCGGCGCCGTCCAGGGTGCCAGCAGGGCCTCTGAGGGGCCGGACCTCGGCATCGTCAGCATTTTCCCTAGAAGCTTCTTTCTGAATGTCCTCATTGAAGCGGCCGGCCCACGTTGAGCAGGTGAGGAAAGGAAATTGTGAAGAAACCTCCTTTCAAAATGCGATATTATTCCGCAGTCAGGAGACATGTTTTTCTTTCAATGTTCAATATTTTCTTTGCTGGGGGGCACATGTATTTACAGGGCAGGAACTCCGGCAAAAATACACCGTCTACGATTTCACATGCTCTCAAACAGCCCCATGGCTTCCAAAGCAAACCCATCTCCCCAAAGACGCTGAAGTAGCCCAGCGGAGCAGGATTTCTGAGTGGAAGCGCTCTACGGTACTCTGCGACATTCCCGACCAGGAGCCAGCAGCTGGACCAGCACGGACATGCACCCGCTCCCCCCGTCAATCCACCAGGTGCTCCCTGAGTTTGGGGACATAGGTGCCCCCTCCCTGTGCAGGAGGGTGTGACTACAGCAGCCCTTCAGGGGCGATTTGCCAAGCGTGACCCTACGACATGCCCCCCCAGGCCACTGAGCCACCACACGGAACATGTGGTCAGCAGCGATCCAGAGGGGTGCCGTGGCTTCACAAAAACACAGCAGCTTCAAATATATGATAAATATGCATTTCAGAAACACCACCAGCAGGCTGGTACAGAGGTCCTACCCCCTACAGGACACAGGCAGTACTGACGTCTGTCTCACTGGCTCTAGGCTGCAGAGGCTTAGAGCTTCTTCACCTTGAGACCATGGCATGCTGTGGGTCACGCTTCATATTCTGTATGATGCCTGCGATGTTACTGCTCACAATATGAATATAGAGTTTTACAATGTATATGAATATATATGACTTTATAGCAACATTCACAGTGAGAGCTCCACCCACATCACTATTCCTGTGAATATAAAACACACACACACACACAGTCACACAGACAGACACACACACAAAGACACACACAGACAGACAGACACACACACAAAGACCAGCCAGCGGTGGCTACGCTACACCGCCCCGGCTCCTTCCCAACTCGACCGGAAGCTACAGTGATCAGGAGGCACCGTGAATGCGTCAGAGCCACATAAGCTTCACCAACGCATACCCAGACCAGCCTCCAGGGGGTGTCCCAGTGACAGCTAAGGGGCAGTCTAATTTACTACCCAGAAGTGGCTGGTGTGTGACATTTCACAGTCAACTAAAGATTTACATTCAAAGAATCTCATTTTGCTGACAGGAAAGGTAAGTGTGACGTGGGTCCTGGGGGGGGGGGGGGTTCTGCGGCCACACACACCCTTAACTGTGGCATTAACTGCCCATTTATTCACATGTGGGTTTCCTCCTGACTGCTTCCCTCAGCCCAACCCAAAGAGATGCGTTCAGGTGAATGCCTGTACCTTGAATGTGTGTGTAACCCCCCCCCCCCCCCCCCCC